CTTTCCCTCCCTGGTTCCTTTTCATTACCCTGGTTCCTATAGTTATGGCTGGATACATACTCACTTATAAGTATTTGGTGCTAAGATCCACATATGATCTGAGTCTGTGTTACTTCACTTAGTATAACAGTTTCTAGTGTAACAGTTACTTCACTTAGTGTAACAGTAGAACTCCATTGTATAAATGCACCATATTTTCATTATCCAATCATCAGTTGAGAGACACTTAGGTTCCTTCCATCTCTTAGCTATTGTGAAAAGAGCAGAAACAAACATGGATGTACAAGTGTCTCTGCAATAGGATGAGTTCTTTGGGTATATGTCAAGGAGTGGTATAACTAGGTCAAATGGTAGGTTCATTTGTAGTTTTCTAAAGACTTTCCACACTTCTTTACATAGGAGTCACAGAAGTTTGCAATCCCACCAGCAGTTCATGAGCATTCCCCTTTCTCCACATCCTCTCCAACACTTGGTATCATTTATTCTCTTGATCTTAGCCAGTCTGACTGGGGTAAGATGAAATCTTAAAGTGGTTTTAATTTTCATTTCCCTAATTACTAATGATGTTGAACACCTTTTAAGATGCTTCTTAGCCATCTTTATTTCTTCTTTTGAGAACTGTTTGTTCAGATCCTTAGCCCATCTTTTAATTGAGTTACTTGCTTTCTTGATTCTTTGTTTTTTGAGTTCTTTATATATTCTGGATGTTAAACACAATTTTTTTTATTTATTATTTTTATTTTATGTGTATGAGTGGATTGTCTTAATGTGTGTAAGTGCACCCATGCCATGGCATACCCATGGAGGTCAGAAGAAGGCATCGGATCCCCTGAAACTGGAGTTACAGATGGTTGTTAGCCACCATGTGGGTGATAGGAATTGAACCCAAGCCCTCTGCATGAGTAGCCAGTGCTCTTAACCACTGAACCATCTCTCCAGCCTCTGGAAGTGAGTTTGTATTGCTCTCATCGCTGTCTTGTTATTGAATGGCACATGCCTGAACTACTGCGTCATTTAGTAAACAGAAGACAGGTCTTCTAGTAAAGAAGAGGAAAATGAGGATGCTGAGGGCAAGCTATTCCACTGCCCATCATCCTCTGTACACTTTCATTTCTCCTTCATGTTTCCTTACTTTTAGGAAGCACAGTATTTGAGACTGCAGGCTTTGTGGGACACCCTTGTAATCATAACCACCTGGACTTATCTGTATATTCCAGTTCCTTCAACCCGTTTTTCTCAACCCAATCAGTACATGCTCTGACTGTGAAGCCATTTCAGTCTCCCAGTCTGATGAAGCAGGCATGCATTGCTTAAACAGCAGGGCTACATTCTGGGAACTGCATTGTTAGGCAGTTTCATCACTGTACACACACACACACACACACACACACACACACACACACACACCACAGAGTGTACTTGGCCAACCCAGGTCAGTCACTGGTGTGGCCTTCCGATGCAGTCAGGGAACTTGGAAAATGAGATGTCTGGTACTGCTGCCTGTGCCAGTGGAACACAGTGTATGTTTCATAGCAAATGTATTTTTAGTAAGTAGGATTAGCGCTGAGGATATAGCTCAGTAATGGAGAGCTTACCCAGTATATGTAACGTCCCAGGTTCAATCCCCAGTAATGCTGAAAATGTTTATTTTTTAAAAGCAAAAGTATAAAGACTATACTCTGAAATGATTAAGGCAGTGTAGTAAAAGCATAAACCAGTGACATGGTCCTTGCATCACTATCAGATGCTCTATGCTACACATGACTGAACATGCTTTGTTCTTATGCCACCAGCAGCACAGGAGGTTCGCTTCCACCAGTGCCACATAAACATGGGAGATGCACATTGTGCTGTGACACTGGCAACTAGATGGTGACTAGACAGTAGACAGTTTCAGCCCGTTACAGACTTTGAAGTTGGCAGTCCTCTGACCTCATGTCCGTATTACCTCCCCTTGTACTGGTGTGGAAACCGAGGTGTGGATAAGTTAAGTGACTTGCCACAGGTGATACTGTTGGTAAATACTGGTGCTGTGATTCAATTCCGGGTGTTTTTGTCAATCAGTTTGCACTCTTCATTGCTTCATCCCAATTCCACTTGAAGTGATAAGTTGTCATAGTTTTTTTATGCTGTGCATAAGGAGGTGGAACAGTGTCCTTCCCCAGAAACTCAGCAGTGGTCCCTAATTTGTGCTGTGAACCACCTCTAGCCACGAGCCCTTCATGCAAACTGCTGAAAACATTGACATTATATTCCCTGTATTCTCATAACTTTAGGTGCTATAAAGTGATTAGCATACAGGATTTGAGAATCGGGAGCATCAGTGCTTGCACCCAGAGAGTCAGTTTTACATTAAGATATCTAAAAAGTTCTAACATGCTTAGCAAGAAAGCCAAAAAAAGCAGAATTGGATGAACATGCCTAGACCCAGATGAGTCACTGTATATAAATAGAACAACTGGCATACAGGGCTTGATGGTCCAACTTCCCATTCTTAAGTGTGATGTAAATCACCCAGTGTGAGCATTCCCATTGGACATAACTATCAGTCTCATTGCCGGATCTACTGTTATACAATAGCTGAGATACTCTTTTGCTTCAACTTGCTATGTCCTTTTCTTTTCATATCCAGCAGTTAGTACTAAGGCCCGAAACCCTTAGTTACAGAACAAAGTGGCTCAGGAGTAATGGAGCCTGTGTGAGGCTCCAAGAAGAATAATGAACATGCCGGGCAAGCTTCCTGCCTAGATGCAGGTGCAGAAATCAGGAGGTCATGAATAATGCATGACATGCAGATGAAGTGATGGTTTCTCCTACTGGGGTTTTGACTTTGCTACCTGCCTGCTGCTACGTGTGGAAAGAAGGAAGCTAGCAGAAGAGCTGGATTTAAAGACAGAGCTCACAAAAGCTCTGCATGTCCTTTTGAAGAAACACAATTTTAAGAGACAGTTGAAGTGTAACTGTTGTGGTCTGAATTTCTTTACAAAGTAAGCTCTCTTGGAGGAGGAAGATATTTCATGATTCATCTTTTGAATTTAAGAAACCCTGCAATTATTTGGTCATGCACATAATCAGAAGTTCTTTTCCTAAGACCTTTGAATTTTTTCTAAATGATGCCAGTATCTAGAGGGTATTGTAATGATGGATTAATCAAGTCTGGTCCCCATCCCCAATGAGCAACATCAAAATCGAATACTGGGATCACGCAACTTCTGCTGATAGAATCAACCATATTGAAAAGACAGGGTTTCATTTGACTTTTAGGGTTAAGGAGGGGGCAGTTAACTAGTTAAAGGTTTAAAGGACTTAGAGTGAACTAAAGAGCTTGTCCTTGGAGCTGATTGCTTCTGGAAACTTATTTAGCCATTGGGACTGACACCTCAGCAAGGGTATAAGAAAAGTTCACAAGCGTTTCCTGCATTTCAAGAAGACAGAAAAAAAAGAGGAAAAAATAGTTTTGCTACCAAGTCCCCCCTCCTCCTCTCTCTCTCATTTGGAGTGCTAGAATATGAGCTGGCTTTCATTTATAGCCCAGTCTGTCATTTCCGCTAGGCTAGGTCCGAGTTTGCCCAGATGCTCAAACCAACAGGTATCCCTCCTAGATGCAAAACAGCAAGCAGTAGGCTGTGCCTGAATGAGGCGGGTCACCAGAGGGCCTGCCTGGCTTCCCTCCATCTTTCTGTATAATTAACACTCCTCCACCATGCAGAGCAGAAAATCTGTGAGGAGCAGCTCAGCTGCAGCCACCATTGAGAAGCTTGTGAGAAAAAGAGGAGGCACTGGAAGAAATCAGCCCTCAAGTGCAAAGTACAGCCCATCTCCAGCTTTGGGGAAAGACAGCAGTTGGCTCTTCAAAAAAGGCTGGACTGGCTTATCTGTTTTGATGAGATTTTTCTCTCGATGAGTCACTGTGAGAGGCTGGGGTTTAGATGAACCTCAGGCTGCTGATTGATTCTAACTGGGCCTTAAGACCAATTTAGAATCATTTTGTTTCCTTCCTTCCTCCTCCTCCTGCTCTCCATCCCTCTGTCCTTCGTCCTCTCCTCCCTCCCTTTTTCTTCCCTCCTTCTTCTTTCTCCCATTTTCTACCCCCTTCCTCCCTATGAATAAAAGTAATGTCAGAAGTGTAAAGAGTGACGAGAAGGAGCTGAAAGACTGCCTAGATCACACAAATCCTAGCAGAGTAGTCCAAAGCAAGAAATCGGGCACAAGGGAGCTGGTAGTAGGGCTGGACTGTTTTGCCAATTGATGCACAAAGAAGGGGGGAGGGTCCAGCATCCAGCCTCTGATTGGAGAATCAGGTAGCTCCTTGAAGCTTTGAGCTCAAAGCCTGAATGACTCCAACTTCAAGAGTTTGGAAAGCTATATATTCACTTCCCATTACCTGGCTAAAATTTTGAATTCACTTTGCCTTTCCCAACTCATCTGCAGAGCACCAGTTCCATAAGGCCTGTCTCCTAGAAATAACTGCCCACCCTCCCTTCCTCTCCCATTTGCACAGCCTGGCTGTTTGGATGAAGTCCTGTTATTTTCTTGGCCTTTATATTTAGAAATTACCTGAAAAAGTAAGCACTTCGTTGTCTTTTGGGGCAGCCCTTAGGGGAATAGTCCTAAGAAGGCTCACTCTGAAGGTAGGCACTATGCCTTACATAGTTTTCATGCACTCTTATCCCAGGCAAAGACTAAGTATTTGATAACTCTACCGGACTGAAGGGGGTCATGTTTATTTTAACTGGTGGTCCTGCATTTGGAACCTGCACAGTTAACATATGACAAAGTCTTGCTCTTCTTGGGAGAGGTAAAGAAGGAAAGGACCCTTCAGGTTTACAGGCAGAGAAATTTAATTTCATCTATTTATTAATACATCATCAAATTCACAGTTGGAGGGGATATGAAGTAAACCCAAAAGGGTTCATTTATAAAAACAGGTACTTTTGTTTTTCCATTTGCAACCAGAAATCTGTTTTCTCAGTGACTGACTTACTGTTATCTGTCAACAGGGTACATCCATCCCCAGGATCCAGGGTCCGGGGAAATCGAATGAATAACCAGAAGTTTGCTTGGTGAGTATGCAAATCAATTTATA